CGGCCCGGCCCCCCGCTCTGGGAGCCGGTGGCGCTGGGCCTGCCTCCCTGGGTCCCGGTGATCGAGTTTTCAGTTCTCTCGGCGCTGCTTGTGCGAGGGCTGTCCGGTGTGACAAGAGAGGACTTGCTCCGTTGTTTGCTCCTGTTTGATGATACTGTATGGTTGGCGGTACTCTGTAGGTGTTTATCGAGTTAGTGCTAAATTAGTGCTCGGTGAGGAGCGTATGTCTTAAAAAGCTAAACTTAAAGAATTATTTGATCCCATTTTCAGTCTTTACGGCTCTGTGATGGCTTTTTACAACTTTTCCATTTAGTTTTTAATTTTCAAAAGTTTCTATGTGCAGGATTAAGTGCTCTTCAGAGCTCTTGCAGTTCACATGAATGCTATAGGAAAAAAATGTCAAAAACAACTCTGCTGTAGAAAAAAAGCCTTTAAAAATATTTATCTTTGGTTTGTTACCATGTTTCCTAGTGATACTTCTGAGCATATGTTTTGACTACAGTCTTACGTGTTTTGACTATAATCTTACATGCTATCTTAATATTTCTGTAGAAAGAATACTTCAAAGTCTATTTTTTCAAGTCCCTAATAAATGTTGTTAGGCAGTATGCACATGCTCAAATAGAGCTTTTATACAGATTCTATAATGTGCAAGAAGCTGAGATTGGTAAGGGGTTGCTGGATGCAGAAATAGCATGATGGGAGGATACTAAAGCTTTTATAAGTGGGTTTCTTCTGGAAATAGCTGGTAAAATGAAAAGTAAGAAAAAATACAAATTGGTGAAGTGTGTGTGCTGAGGTGAAAAACACAGCTTTGTATGGGAGAGTTTCATCTCTAAGAAAAGAACTGGCTGGACCTCTGTGTTTTTTAACTGAGTTGAAGGGATAAGATATCAACATAGCTCTCTGATCTTAAGCTCACTTGAATATAACTCATTTGGAAATACTGAAGATTATAGTATGAGTGTTTAGAAAATTGCTCTTCTGGGAAGGGCACAGTTCTGTTAGAACACTTTAAAATCGGCTTCCTGGAAGTAAGCAGGGTATTGTTGTTTTTGAGCTGTATTTAGTAGGGTGCATTGGCATATACCTAGTGTCCTTGTTTGCGAATATTATTCAGAATGTTCCATCTGTGGTAGTAAATTTACTTCAGAGATAATTGGAGACTCCTACAGCAAAGATAGTTGAAGATAACTTTTGTGAAAGTTTTAAATAAATATGAATAGTTGTTTGTGTTGTGTAAAGATGAATATTGCCATTTCTTGTTTTTACAGTGGAAGTAGGGAAAAACTTACTTTGCTATGGTTTTAGTAGAATTATATAAGATGATGATGAGGAAGTGGCTTACTGAATTGGACTGTAAACCCAGATGGCCTCTAATCTTGTCAAGATGAACTCATTATACTTAGTGGCATAGGTCAGGATAGAATGCCAGCTGATATGTTGGGTCTTGCACATCTACAAAGCCGAACCGTTTATCTGTAACTGAAGAAAGTTCTTAGAAAATATAGCTGTTTTCTAAAGTAAGCTAAACTCATAACTATGCATTTGTTTTGAATGCTTGTCAAATTTACCTTGAGATGGCAGGAGAGCTTCCCTATGAACTTTTCATAGGGTGCTTGTGTTTCTACATGAAAACAATGTGCAAGGGCATTGTTCTTATTTTTCTAAATAAATCTGACAGTTCACCTGGGTGAAAGGTGGACAGAAGGTGTGGTTTTACAGTTGATCTGTCTGGGTTTTGCTCCTCCTGATGACATGACTTTTATTTGCCTTCCTTGAGCCTCCAGATGGTTCTTATATAGTCATAAGGTTAGCCAGATCAGGGAGCTTATCCAGTTGAGAGCTCTTTTTTTTTTTTTTTTTTCTTCTTTAATTTTGATTTTGTTTGTTGGCTAGCTAGTTTATAGATGGTACCTTCTGATTGCACATCCTAGTGAACACTTCTGTTGGGACGAATAAGGGAGTATGAATGAATGTGCAAGGTCAGTAGGGCACAGATCTGCCAGTTCCCACAGTAGCAGGCACTTAATTATACCTGTGTTATGATTATGATTCTGATTGTGAGATGCAGAAGCTGAATTACTCCTGACTGTGTTCGAGTGACTTAGGCTGGTACACTGCAGAGCGGAGATGTGGTTATGGTATAATGAGCATACTGGGTAGATCCTATTTCCTTAATGGGGTAGTAATAGGCTGTGTTGGCATAAACATACTGCTTTGTGCAAGTGCGCCTACCGAGAGGGCTTTACTGTCTGATTTTGATTGAATACTATGCCTAAGCAAGATAGATGTACTAGGACAGCTTTTAAACTTAGTTCAGGATTAATAAATTTTTTCTGGAACTGATTATAAAAAAAAAAAACCCAGCTTCTTAGATACTTCTTAATCTTGAGTTCTAGGTGATTTCTTCACCTGCATTGTGTGAAATCTTGGTGTCAAAATTAATAGTGGATAGGTTGCAGTAAAATGTTTAGAAATAAATTGTCCTTTTTGATTGTTTTTCAGTTAAAGATGAAGCTAGGATGGCGTTCCAACGTAGCAGTTAGAATTACTTTTCCCAGCTAGTCCTCTGCAAGACTGTTTTTCTGCTACATGTGTAACAGAACTTCACAGCTGTTACAAAGAAAAAGTTTGTGGCTTTGTGCAGTGGAACTGTGAGCAGCACTCAGGCTACACAGTTTTTATTGCAGCCTGAGAATATATACAGTTATGTATTCTTCACCTTTTTACACAGGCTAATCTAATTTTACTGCTATAAAGGGATACTTTGTTTCTGATCTTTCAGCTTTAACAACTTTTTTTATTACTAATGTCAAAATTGGAAATGAAAATTAAAACTTTTAACATACAGATTGCTTTATACTGTGCAGAATGACACTATTAGAGAGCAGCAAAGCTCTAGGAAACCTAAATTACTTTGTTTGGTTTTGCTAGAAACTATAATGTAAGTGTCATGGCGTTCACTGATTAAATAACTTAACCTCTAGTAAAAAAAAAAGTTAAAATCCTTTTATTGGTGTCTGTTTTCCATGTATTGTATCAAGTATCCCCTTCAGTGCTCTGTTGTCAACACCGTAGTATTGAAATAAATGCAAAAGTTTGACATACTAGGTCTACAAAGTCACCCGCTGTACTGAATAGACATCACCCTGGCCCTGAAAGTGCTGGCTGTATGAATCACATAGCAGTCTTTCCAAGCACTATATAGTGTGTTTTAAAGTAAGGAAAATTGAGAGCCTCAAAAAAACCCCTATCTTTACTTTCTAAGAGCAGGGATTAAATAAAAAAGTAAAAGAAAAACCCAAACCCACAATTACTTCTTGTTTTATTTTTAATGCCAGTATCTGTGTTCTTCTCCCTCTTACCTTTTTAGTAATACAGTTTAGTAAACAAGGGGTTTAGTTTCCTAAAACAACCTTGGTGTTTTCATTTTATAATGAATGTGGTGTTGTCATCTCAGATTATGAATCTTTGAAATGGTCTACATAAACTGATTTTAATACAGCACATTTCTTTCAGATTCTTTTTATTGATTGCTTGTCATGGCAACAGGAGGTGGTCCCTTTGAAGAAGGCATGAATGATCAGGACTTGCCTAGCTGGAGCAATGAGAGCCTTGACGACCGGCTGAACAACACGGTATAATTCATCTTATCTTTCAGTTGCCATTTTATGCCGTATGTTAAAATTACCAGGTAGATTCTGCTAGTGGCAGGTAACATTGCAAAACCCTAAGCCTTGTCCGTACAGCTTTATTGGTAAGTATCCGCAAAACCAATAGGAATAATTGAGGTAGATGTAAGCAAGCAAAGAGTGTAATTCAGAGGCTGTGAAATCTGTAGATGTATTTATGGGAAGTGTTTTGGGTAAATAAAGTAGCTAGACACAAAAGCATTGTAGGTGTCATGAAAGTGAAAACTCTAATTTTAAAAAGTTCTAAACTACTGAAGTCTTCAGCAAAGAAGAAAAATAAAATTTTAGGTTCATGTGAAATTAATTTAATGTTTTGTAGGATGAAAAGGGTTTAAAATTTCCTGATGAGCTATTTTTAATTTATGCAGTGGAGAAAGTTATATTTTGTATGTGAGATTTACTCTAGAAAACTTAATACATATTTTGATATCACTTTTCATTTTTACTTCTAAAATGGAAGTAAACTCTTTCACTGAATGAAAACATTTACTTTTTATCTATGTGGATAACAAATACGACTTTTTTTCTGCCCTCTCCTTCCTGTTAAGGACTGGGGAAGTCAACAGAAGAAAGCAAACAGATCTTCAGAAAAAAACAAGAAAAAGCTTAGTGGGGAAGCTGAAACAAGGCTTACTAATGATATATCTCCAGAATCCTCACCTGGAATGGGACGACGGAAGACCAGAACGCCTCATAGTTTTCCTCATGCTCGATACATGACCCAGATGTCTGTTCCAGAGCAGGCTGAACTAGAAAGGCTTAAACAGAGAATAAACTTCAGTGATCTGGATCAGGTTTGTGGAATACTAGCTCACACTATAAATGTGACTGCAAAATTTATTCAGCTATCTCTTAATAATTTGCAAGATGAACAAAGTAAGCTTTTGTAAGCAATTAAGGTTAGAAAAAGCTTATAGGCACCATGGGAGCCAAATCAAAATTCTGGTCTTTAACTTGAGAAAATTATGGAAAGTTGAGGACCATGGCTTTCCTGTGCTTGACAGTACGCTAACTGTCTTCACTTTCTTCCTCTCAATCATTAACAAATTCCTGGGTCCTCAAATCAGTATTTCTTACTCATTATAGTTGTCTGCCACTTGAAAATATCTGCTACCTTATTTTGAAAGTCTGTTCTTGAAGTGCCGGTTTGTGATTCTGAACATTCTTGTCCTTGTGGATTAAACAGAAGAGTAGCATTAAAAACCGTTCCTCAGTAGAGTATAGAGAAATGTATGGCATGAATTCTTGAGTCATAACTGCTGCATTGGGAATATGGCACATTCATACTTCCCTTGCCCAAAACAATGAAAAGTATGAGGAATTAATTCTTTGGTAACAAGACATAAGTTTGTGCTAACAGTTTCAGAATAGAGGCTTGTTAATCTTTGCCAAAGTTTGTTGTTGACCTGTTTGGGTTGTGAAGATTCTTTCAAATGCAGTTCATTGCTTTGACTTAGAATATAAAGACTGGGCATAACTTGCTCCCCAAATGCATGTTATGGCAATAAGTTGCTATTCAGAAGGTTCTAAAGAAAAGCTGAAATTATGAGGTATCATGTTCTGCAAGTGAATATGTTCCTCTTTTATTATTGTTAATCCCTCAAATGTACCTGGAGAAGTAGATGCCTTTCGCTATAGTAAAAGTGGAGGCCACGGCCAGGATGAGGAACTAAGCTCTGAGGAACTGCAGAACCCTTTTGCTTCTCAGCTGTTCTGGGAGGGTGGGCTTGCTTTCTGAAAACTATATGGCAAAAATCACCAGCACTGTATTTAGCTAGGTTTTGGCTAGTCCGTGACTAATAAGGTAGCTTTAAAATCAGTCTAATAATACTGCAGAACTGGTAATCCAAGCAGTGAAACTAATCAGTGTTGAGAATATATTGGAGGAAGAAAATAAAGCAATTGTTCTTTTTTTGTTTGTTTATAGAGAAGCATTGGAAGTGATTCTCAAGGCAGGGCAACGGCTGCTAACAACAAACGTCAACTTAACGAAAACAAAAAACCATTCAACTTCGTGTCACTGCAGATAAACACTAACAAAAGCAAAGATCCTGCCTCAAGTTCTCAAAAAAAGGAAAGTGGGGTATCACTGCAATGTAAAGAGTTGTTTGGAGCTGCTGTAAGCAAGGATTTCTTGCAAAATTGTCAAGTCTCTGCTCAAGAAGATGGAAGGGGAGAACCAGCTATGGATAGTAGCCAGGTATTTACATAGCCTATAAAGTCTACAGAATATTGACTCTTAGAGAGGTTTTAATTACATTGTTACTTTTCAGTGCATCTTTCTCAATTTCCAAAAAGTATAACTTGAATCTTTATTGGAAATGCTTACCTTCCCACTGTTCTAAAAGGCAACTTGAGGAAAATGTGAAACGAAACTTACTCATGTATTGTTCTTCAGAAATCTGCTTATTGGTAACAGAAGCATCATTAATTTTCATCTTGGAGATTGGTTCTCTTTTGTACGGTTCCAGAAAATAGTCTCACAGGTTTAATATTTTCATATGTTAATGAGCCTGTCTACAAGAAGGTCCGTGCTTCAGCCTTGCAACTTCACGCATGCATAAATCTACCCCTATAAAATCTGTTGACTTTTAACCATTTGCAGAAGTGTGCTTATAGGATTGAAAGTACTAGTATGTTACCCCTTTAATTACTGCTTTGCTGTTACTATCACCATGTCTTTTGCTTTAAATACGTTAAAGCTGTAGCTGAATGCATTCAGTAACTTCAGTGTCTTTACAGATTGTGAGCAGACTAGTTCAAATTCGCGACTATATTGCTAAGGCCAGCTCCATGCGGGATGATCTTGTAGAGAAAAATGAAAGATCGGCCAATGTTGAGCGTTTATCACACCTTATAGATCACCTTAAAGAGCAGGAGAAATCCTATCTGAAATTTTTGCAAAAGATGCTTGTAAGTTTGAGAACATAATATGTTTGTTTCTGCACTGTAAGCTTCTTTAGGAGTTGACCATTGATGTTTTGATGGTGCTGCTGGGGGTGTTGGTTTTGATATGTAGTACCTTCCATAATTCATTTTTACTGCCCCCTTATATAGCTTTTGATTTATGCCAATGACATATTTCAGGCTAGAGAAAATGAGGAGGATGATGTTCGGACTATAGATTCAGCTATGGGATCTGGTTCTGTAGGTGAGAGCACATCGCTAAACATTGATGTGCAGTCTGAGGCTTCAGATACCACGGTAAGCTGCCTTTTAGTAATTAAGGTGCTAGAAATGAAGACTTTGTTTCATTTTTGTCGTGATTGTTATGGTAGTGTCACAATCTGCAGTTCAGTTAAAAAATAGTAAATCCCCAAACACTCTGTTCAGGAGATGTTCATGCATGTGTGGATGTTTGTGGGGTGTTTTTTAATATGGGGGGGGAGGGGGGGAAAATTTGCTGATTCTGTCACAACAACAATATATCTTGATTAGGTTTTTTTAATTCCTTAGTCTTTCTTCAAAATAAAGGGTTAAATGTTTACTTTGGCACAGCATGCACTGGATTGTTGTAGGAAGGAATAGTTTTCTATACAGTTTTTCATCTGTAAGTTTGTTTCTGATACTGGGGAAAACTTCCTGGTGTTGGCTGAGAAGAGAGTTAGAAATGAGTCGTTAGTGGGCCATTGCCCAAGCATCTTTTGAGTGATACGATAGGAGTATTGACCTAACACAGAAGTTTCTCTCCTTTTTTAGGAGAGATGAGCACCTTTTAGAAAATGTTTTGAATTTAGTTCTGAGATACACAGACAATCTTTCCATTTATAAAAGCTTTTATATTAATGTGGTAAACAATTATTGTAGTAGATACAAAAGCATCATAATAACAACTTGTTTTACATCTTCCAATACTGCTGTACTGAGGAAAAGCACTAGAGAGCTGGTAGTCTTTTGGCCAGTTAGTACACTGAATGTTCTATGGATGAGGAGAGTTTACATGCTTGGAAGTAAAACAGCAGTTAAAACATTAAGAAGTTTTTGTAATTGTTTTTAGTTTTGTAAGAACTCTTTCTATCCCTGTAAAGAAATAAAATTATAGACGTAGAAGATGTACTTTTGACTTGAAAAAGGAATAATTGAAAAATGCAGAAAAAGACCAGTACTGTTTTTAAGAAGTATACATGTGAACTTGCATTTTTCTTCATCTTTGCAAAATGGGTTTTACTTTTAGGTTTGGCTCTTCATTTTGCATCTAATTTCTCTTTACATGCAGCTTGAACATGTTATGCAGAATGTATATGCAGAATGAATACTTCCAGTCTTATAAGGCTGATTGCTATATGGAGCCTTATTGTTACGAAAATTCTAAGAATGACTAAAAATGTCGTTGCTTTTCAGTAGATTTTATTTTGTATTAGTTTTCATTATTTGACAAGATACAATTGGGTAGGTCTGTAACTTAAAAATGCATGCTAAGTTGGAGCACACTTTCAAAATCTAACATATTAAACTATTTAATAAAGGAAGTATCTTTTAGTTTGAGTGTTCGGCCCCTCATTGAGGACAAACTAGGGAATTCAGCTTCACAAGAACAGGTTGCAGACATTGATGTTACAGCAAGCCCTAAAGGGAAAAGTGACAGAGCTGCTCTGAATGACAGGGAAATCTGGCCTTGTAGGATTAATAGCCAAGAACATGGATTCCCTTCAAAGGTACACTTCAAAATATTTTAGCCTCAAATAGAGTTTATATATGCGGATTTATTTATTTATTTATTTATTGTCTTTTTTTCAACTGCTTCAAACGTATTTGTTACTTACAATGAATGTTCCCATTTGGCCTGCTTGTCTGTAACCAGTCTTTTCATTGAATGAATCTTCTAAATAGAGTTGTTTGACAACTTTCTCTTCTTAAGTGTCAGCACTGACAGAGAAAGTACTACATGTAACTGTACAGCAGATGTTATGGTTTTGTGGAGATGATCCTTCCAGTTTCGCTGTTCTCTTTCTGGGAAAACACACTGTAAATGTGACTTTCAGACACTTGTCATGTTTACACCAATAGTCTGCCAGTGCAAATTTAAGCTAATACCATATAGAGAAAATAAATTAGACAATAGTCTTAAGTTATTCCACAAATGTTTTCGTATAGCTGTTTATAAATATTTGGTTGGAAGGGGAAGACTAAGGGGCTTGGAATCTAAAACTTCTTTTGTTACCTGTTACCAGCTTTTCTATGGCTTTGTCTCTTAATCTAATTTAAAAAAGAAAAGAAAAAAGTAGGTTTGATTTTTTTTTTTTTCATAAAATAAAAGGCTTAAATGTTTTGTCAAGCTTATTAGTCTAAATGTAAAACTAAGCTGAAAAATTTGTTATGTGATTTTAAAGTACCAAATTTGCTTGAGTTCATTAGATAAAGCTTGGATTATTTAATAAGTGAGACTGAGACATCTCCTTTTTCCCTTTCTTCCCCTTGTTCCTTTCTGTGTTGATTTCATTGTATATTCTATTTTTTTGGTATATTCTACTTTTTATATATAAGATGAAGGTTTAACAGGAATGATCAGTGCCAACTGCAGTGCGTGTTTTAGTGACACATTGAGAAGTTTAGAATTCTGGATGTGTTCTCCTTTTTCTGCTGGAAAGTTGAGCGTTCCCTGATATCAAGAACTAGTTAATAAGATGCCTGCTTCTATTCTGACATTTGGTGCAAAATTTTTGGACTGAGAGAATTTTGTACTTCAGGAACTCATCACGTTGTGGGGGGAAGATGATACTTTTAAGTTAGTAATGTTCTTTTTAAATACTTGTCAACTCCTAACAAAAAGGAGGCAATTTTTTCCGTGGTTTCATCTGCATAGTGCGTTAATGCAACTTCAGACAGGATCAGGATCTTAACTGTGAAGGTCTCATTAAAATATTTAATTTTCTGACAATCCTTGATTAAAAGATTTCAGGCAAATCTCCAGCTTTTAATTAGGATAGGATGAGGAAAATAATTTTAATATATTTTAACTGCTCGACATGCTTTCATTCCTTCAGGTCTATTTCCATGTGTTTGAAAATATGGTATACATGAATTCTGTGCATGTTTTTGTTCTGAAATTGGTTTAGCTAAATCTCGTCTATTCTAGTATCTATGGCATAAATAGAGTGTACAAAACTAAATGCATTATAGGTTAGAGAAGAGTAACTGCCTAAAACGTTCTGCTGAAAATTTAGAGGTTTTAGGCCGGTAAATCAATCCGTATCTTGTATTAGATGTAGCTCTGTGATACTATGCCTCATTTTGCTTAGCTTTACCAATCTTACAGCTTAATGCCCCCTTTTATGATTTAAAAGACAGAGGGATGCTTGGGTTAGTCTTTGGGACACGTTAGGGTGGCCGACTGGATTTCTAAAGAAAACGTAACCCCCGGGAGTGGTAACATGCCGTGATGCTACAGGCTTCTCCCTGTTGGATATCTAAAACTTTTTAGTCTGAAAAGGACCACTGGAAGGGTTAAGCCGTTTCATTTTTACCTTTTTACACTAACCAAGCTGTTTGTTTCTATTGAAGTCCTGCTTTTGACACTTCTGTTGCTAGTACTCAACACATAAAATGTTGGTAATGTTCTTCCATATTTTGTAGGCCAGAGATCCTCAACAGGAAGCTAAAGAGGAGTTGGAGAACTTGAAGAAGCAGCATGATTTATTGAAAAGGATGCTACAGCAGCAGGAGCAATTGAAGGCTCTTCAAGGAAGACAGGCAGCTCTTCTTGCTTTGCAGCATAAAGCAGAGCAAGCAATTGCTGTCATGGATGATTCTGGTATGTGGAATGACAGTGTCTTTGATAGCATATTAACACACTGATTGAATGATTAAGCCTGGTATTGTGGAATACACATTAAAGTGTATTTTTTTTATATATAATGCGCTTTTAAAAAAAATTTACTTTCAGACTTCTATTTCTGAAAAGAGTTGACAATGTAACATTGTAAAATGATGTGTCAGTTAAAAACCACACAGCTGATTTCTGTGGTTTACTTGTAAAATCCTAAAAGTGTGGATTTTTCTCCTAGGAATTGGTCTACCACATCAGATTAGGAATATGCCTCTCATCTCTGTCATTGTACCAGGCCTTTGGAGGAAAGAATTGGAGTGCAGGATCATAGAATCATAGAATGCTTTGGGTTGGAAGGGACCTTTAAGGGTCATCTAGTCCAACCCCCCTGCAATGAGCAGGGACATCTTTGACTAGATCAGGTTGCTCAGAGCCCCGTCCAGCCTGGCCTTGAATGTTTCCAGGGATGGGCACCATCAGGTCCAGTATCGCATCTGCTCTGGCAGGGCTGTCTATTACCTGGCTTAAGAAGTTATCCTCCATGCACTCCAGGAGTCTCCTGGATTGCCTACAGCTTGCTGTGCTACTTTCCCAGCAGCTGTCAAGGTGGTTGAAATCCCCCAGCAGGACAAGAGCCTGCGAGTGCGAAGCTTCTTGTAACTGGAGAAAAAAGGCTTCATCAGTAGACTCCCCTTGATTGGGCAGCCTGAAGTAGACACCAAACACAAGATTCCCTTTGTTGCCTCAGTCTCTAATTCTTCCCCAACCTGCTCTTGGCTATTCTTTAGGGACAGCTCTTCGCATTCTATCCATTTCTTGAAGTAGAGGGTGTCACCATTTAAGGCTGGGCTGGCTCTCAAAACAGGCAGCAGATGCTCTCTGTTAAACCCTCCCTCCCCACCAGGAGGGGAAGGGATGGAGAAAAGGAAGAGAGACTTATGGATTGCAAATTAAAACTACTTTAATAAAACAATAATAATGAAAAATAGCATTGTGACATTAATACTAAGACTACCAATAATGGAAATAAGAGGAAAAG